TTAGGTATGTGAGTTCAGTAGTCTGCCCACTCCTCCTGTATGGATTCAGCTCAGGTGTCCAGATAGATAGGCACCAAGTGTGGGGTGTAGGCTCTCACTTCTAGTCCTAGGCAGGCATGGGTGATTGGTGTAGGCACAGGCATCTGGCTGCAAGAGCAAGACACACTCTGAGAAAAGCAGGGGGCTGACGGCTGCCCCAGAGTGTCCAGGAGGAAGGCGTGTCCCTGTTCCCTAGAGCACATAGGTGGGTAGGTTTTGCAGCCAGACCCTGAGCACCTAATGCTGTTGGCTGTAAGGACTGGGGGCACCTCTTATTCATGGGTGCCTCTCTCAGGTGGCCAGGTTGTGTGGGTGGAGCCACCAGTCCTCAGGCCCCTGTTGTGGGTAGGTGAAGACCCTGCTTAGTGGGCAGAGCAGTGTCAAATATCAAGAACCTGCCACTTCATAGCTAAAAGAGTTGAAGTTAGGGTTCCTGTATACACCCTGTTGTACTGTGGTAATGAGGGCCTATGTTGTTGAGAAGGGCCCACACAAGTGTATGCATGGCGAAAGGCACTCAAAGTCCACGGATTCCTTATGCCTGTGCATAGGCAAAGGAGCTGTGCCTATCCTGGGTTCCTGGATTAGGGGAGTTTATTTTTTCCCCTGTTTGTTAATTTGTTCACTCTCCAAGGCGGGGAGAATGGCTCCAGGCTTGTGGTGGATCCTACTTCCAGTCGAGGGAACTCGACAATTGCTGAAGCCGGTCTGTGACCCAGTACAGAACATTAAGCGGGGAGGTAAATGGGAGAGGTTTTTCCCTAAGGGGGCTGTTTTTGATCCGTGCAGTAATCCACATGCAAGTAGTTACCTTTCATAGAGGCTGCTTCTCACTGGTTCTGCACAGCAGTGTAGATTCTGGCATGAGCCTCTCCCGGTGCAGAAAACGTGCCTCCCAAGCTCGGCTGCTTGCCTGCCTCACTGCTTCCCCCTGAGCTGATCAGGCCTGAAGGGCTCAGGCTCTCGCCACGTCAGGTCTGGCAACTCCTCGCTGCTTCCAAACCGTCTCTCTCTCTCCCTACCACTCAGTCCAGTTCCTCAACTCTGCCTTTGATGTTCAGGGCCCCCAGATTGCCCTATATAATCGAATCACTTGATTTTTCAGGTCTTTGTTGTAAGAAGGTGAACCGGAAGCGTCTGACTACTCCTCCATCTTGGCCCCACCTCTCCTGGTTTCTAATTCTTAATGGTAACAAAGTTATCTTTTGTACACTATGGGAGTTTGCTTATGATCTGAGTTGTATAGGTTTTGTTCTTCATATGAAAACACTTTTTAGAAAATCCCTTTCATCTTCTGTTCTAGACTTGAAGCTCATTATCCTGCTAAAATCATTGAATGCATAAAATATCCCCTCTTCCCTGTTGTAGAGTCAGAAGGAAGGTTGCAAGGTAAAACAATTTAGTTCCAAAATTCCTTTTTTTAATTGAACTTTAGATGAAGCTTTACAGAACAAACTAGATTCTCATTAAACAGTTAGTACACATACTGTTTTATGGTATTTGTTAACAACCTCATGACACGTCATCAATGTTCCTTCTCCACCATGGGTTCCTTATTATCAGCTTTCTTGTCCCCTCCTGCTTTCTAGTCCTTGCCCCTGGGCTGGTGTGCACCTTTAGTCTCATTTTGTTTTATGGGCCTGTCTAATCTTTGGAAGAAGGTTGAACCTCAAGAGTGACTTCATTACTGAGCTAAAAGGGTGTCCAGGGGCCATACTCTCAGGTTTCTCTTGTCTCTGTCATGGCAGTAAGTTTGGTCTTTTTTTATGAGTTAGAATTTTGTTCTACATTTTTCTCCAGCTCAGTCTGGGGCCCTCTATTGTGATCACTGTCAGAGTAGTCAGTGGTGGTTTCTGGGCACCATCTAGTTGTACTGGACTGAGTCTGGTGGAAGCCATGGTAGTTGTGGTCCGTTAGTCCCTTGGACTAATTTTTCCCCTGTATCTTTACTTTTATTCATTCTCCCTTGCTCCCAAAGGGGTGAGAACAGTAGAGTATCTTAGATGGCCATTCTCAGGCTTTTAAGTCCCCAGACACTACTCACTAAAGTAGAATGTAGCACATTTTCTTTACAAATTATGTTATGCCAATTGCACTAGATGTTCCCGGAGATCATGGTCCCCACAGCCCTCAGCACAGCAATTCGATCTTAAGGCCAAATTCTAAATGCACTGGTTTAATATTTGCACCATAACTGTCTTTGTCCCACATAACTTACAGAATTTAATCTTAAAGACTTATGAAGTGATTTGTTTAAAAAATCCAGCCTGGTGTCAGGAGTACTGAGATTTAGTTATGTCTCAATAATCAGAAAGCAATAGGGCTTTCAGCAAACCAATTTCTTCTTTTCCTTATCTACAAAGTAGCATCTGCCTAGCCCACATCACTGAGTGTTTTGAGGATGAAATAAATTGACATATATACAAAACTAGGGCTCCAGGATTCTCCTACACAGAAAAGCTTAGGGGCACTGTAACTATTAGGGGACTTTGAAGTGGCATGGTTTAAGTATTACAAACTGTATTGTCCCTTATATCTTGAGCCTAGAAGGAAAAGTAGAATTTTTGGGCCATACTTGTGGGATCCATGATGTGCTGACTGCAGAACCAAGATGTTAGTGCTAGGAGCAGATTACGAAATCCTACTAGTTGCATTTGCGTCAGTTTTGACTCTTGGCTGCCCCATGTGTGTCAGAGTAAAAAGGTGCTACATAGTGCTTTTAACGGCTTATTTTTTTTTTAAATGGATCACCACGCCTTTCTTCAGAGGTGCCTCTGGGTGGACTTGACCCTCCAACTTCCTGATTAGCAGCTGAACATGTTAACTCTTTGTACTACCCAGGGACTCCAGGTTACTAGATACTGATTATTTTTCTGACAAATTTTTAACTTGCCAACCTCCTGGAGCCTGAGCTAATTACATACTAGGGACAGGGCTGAGGCAGTACATTCCCCAGAGAACACAGCGCTCAGCTCCTGATCCTGTATTTAAGCTCCATTTATTGTGCTAAGTGTCCGAGGCGAGTTCATGTTCCTATTTCCCCAGGATCATCAGGTTTGGGAATTAATTTTCCATGCAAAGAGCCCACTGTCTCATTCTGGATCAGCCCTAACATATAAATAAAAATACAGATTTCAGAGCTCTGGTAACAAACGCTGGACCACTACATGATGACAAGGTAGCTCAATGTTGGAAAAAGAAGTCCATGTTCAGTGGCTTGCATAGACTAATATGAGGACTAAAAAATATGTGTGTCTTAAGTGCCATCAAAATCATTACAGTCTGACATGAGTAGCAGCTGCAGGGGGTGGACTTCATATAAGCCCACAGTGCTGTGTTGTGCTCAGAGTGGGTTAAGCACTGTTGTTGGCCTTACCACATCTCTCTGCCTGCTCCTCCATGGCTGTTATCCTTCAGGTTCCTTCCCTTTCCTTCTCTTTTTTTCTAAATCCATTTCTTATCTGAGTGTTCCTGTTCCTCCTTCTTTGTATTTGCACTGGATTCTTTTTCCTTTCTTCCTCTGTCTTTCCTGATCAACTTGTCTTCCATCGTGTGGAGTCCACCCGCTGCAGCTGCTTCTCATGTCAGAGAGCCTCAGCATTGAACTCTGCTCCCATCCCTCCAACCTCCACCATCCACTCATGGTTCTACAGCAACAGCAACTCAGAAAGAGTACTCTGCATTGGGGTGAAGCAGAGGTTCCAGAGCCAAGTCTCAGGAAATAGCTAGAGTTTCTAGCCCTGGGCACTGTGGTCTTAGCCCTGCCAGGGTCTCTGTCGGAGTGAGCATGAGTCCAGCAGTCTCCTCTGCGAATCTGGCCTCAGGGTCTAGGCAGCTTCATGCATGTGTGAAATCAGTAATGTGTTAATTCAAATACCCTGTTTGCCTGCAGGAAAGGCTGACAGGGCCCAGCCCCCCAACTTTCAGAAGCTGTAAGAACAATCTAAGATGCCTTTGATGGCACTAGACTTGTTCCAAAGGGACTGAAAACATAAAAAAAAAACTAGAAAATAGAATACTTGTTTTCCCCAGATAGTTACAGGATTTTCTGTAAACATTTATACACTGACTAAAAAAGTTAAAAATCAATCAGTTGTTAAAAATTAGCATTTCAATTAAAGTTCACCAACTTTATTATTTTTTCCAATTGTACATCAGGACTATTTTTGACCATAATTCTTTGCCTTCATTTTTCCTTTCCTTATCTTAATTCAGAGAGAGATAGCACATGTGATTTAGCAGTTATAAAAGAAGCAATTTAGAAGATTCTACATGGAATATTTTTGAAGCATTTCCTTAAAAAGGTGTGAGTCTGCAACACAGGACAGAAGGACAGAGAATGGTGGAGGGAGGACAGAATTCTGAGCAGTAGGTGGAACTAATCATACTGGCTGGTGGATCCTGTGGACAGTCAGCACCAATCCTGGCCACTTGGAAATAGTTTTGACCAATTCTAGGTAAAGACCTAAAATTCCCCAGCCATTCTGACAATGGTATCTAGGTAGGCAGCTAGGCCTGTAGGGATGCCTCTAGATGGTGAATCAAGCAGCAAGACTCATGCAGGAATTCCAAGCTTTGGCAGTGGTTGATCGTGAGAAGCTTATGCTTACTGGAACGTGGATGCATGCTGTCTGGTAACCATACCACCAGAGATGGATCACGGTTTGCCTGTTGGGATTGTAAAGATTATGTTTCAACTTGACTAGGCCATGATTCTCATAGGTTTGGCAGACGTTATGCAATCATCCATTTTGTAATGTGGTGTGAAGAGCCAATCAGTTGAAAGAGAAGTTTCCTTGGGAGTGTGGCCTGCATCCAACATATATGAATGTTTTGGCAAAGCTTCCTCACTCTTGCATCTGACTTATCATCCTCTGAGCTGTGGTTGTTGGGATGTTAGCCATCAGCCTGCCACCTGAACTGCAGAATTTAAGATTCACCAGCTCTCACAACCCTGTGAGCCAGTAGTCTGCCACCTGATCTGCCGATTTGGGGTTTGTCAGTCCCTGCAACCACGTGCATCAGAAGCCTGCCGCCTGACCCGCAGATTTGAGACTTGCCAGCCTCCACAACTGTGTGATCTATTTCCGTGAAATAGATTTCTCTCTATATACTTATATATGTGCTTTGCTTGTTTTGCTTCTCTAGAAAACCCAGCCTAAGACACATGTGGACTAAAAATGCAGCTATAATCCACATGGAAGGATTCAGATGTTGTGCCAGGCAATGCAGTCTAGTGGTAGCCCAAGTAATATTCTCAGTTTCTGTCACACGTCATTGCCGGTGGATAATTAACAGTGAATAGCAAACTATCATTCAAACTATCTTGCTACATATTCCGATTTGATCAATAAACTTCTTGAAATTCAGAAAGAATTTATGCAGAAAGTAAGGAGATCTCACTCTGTGTTTTTCTCTGATGATCCTCCACATCCACTCAGTATACTAAGACATGGAGCAAGAAAATAAATCTACCACCACAGATTTCATTCTCATATGTCTCTTCATGACTCTCAGCATCCTGGCTTTCTTGTTGCCATCATCCTCCTGATTCTTGTGGTGGCCATCACTGGAAACTCCTTCCTGGTCTTGCTGATCTGGGGTGATGCTCACCTCCACACAGCCGTCCCTCATGGACTTGACATTCATTTCCACCACTGTCCCCAAGATGACCGCCAACTTCTTCTCAGGACACGGAGGTATCTTCTGCGTTGGCTGTAAAGTCCAAATCTTTCTTTACTTGATAGTAGGAGTGGCTGAGTGTGTTCTCTTGACCCTCATGGCCTTTGACCACTACTTGGTCATGTGTAGCCCCTGAGAGACACAGTCTTCATGACCCCCAGAGTCTGTTTGCAAATGGCTGCCAATTCATGGGATGAGGGTGTTCTTGCTTCCCTAACACACATAATTTATACCATGCACTTTTCTACCAGTGGCTCCAGGAAAAGTCACCATTTTTTTTGTGAAGTCATAGCCCCTCTGAAACTCTCTTGTGAGGACTCTTCCACCTATGAGAAAGTGGTCTTAGTGTCAGACAGTGTTTTCCTTCTTATCCCTTTTGGATTAATTCTGACCTCCTACACCCTCATCTTCCTTGCTGTCCTCTGTATGAACTCCCCTGAGGGCAAGAAAAAAGCTCTGGCCTCCTGCTCCTCTCATGTCAGTGTAGTGAGCCTCTACTTTGGTCCAGCCATGATTAGCTACATGGCACCAGGTTCCTCTTTCCCCACAGAGGTGGACCAACATCTCTTTGTGTTTGATGTTCTCATCACTCCCATGCTGAACCCCCTAATCTACATCGTGAGGAACAAGGAGGTGGTGGGGGCTCTGAGGAAGGCGTTGGGAAGAACGCTGATTGTTAAGCAGGAAACAAGATGAATGTTTTACATTTAAAGCTGTTTAAATAGAGTTTAGTATTGGCCAGACATCATTCTGAGAATTTCTATAGATTAACTAAGTTTATCATTATTATGATCCAATGTGGTAGGTACTATCATTATCTACATTTTATATTTGTGGAAACTGAAGCCAAGATGCTAGTCACTTGTTGCACAGAGAGCAAGTAGGGGATCTAGGTTAGAAGACATACCATCTACCTTCCTATTTACTGCTTCTTAAAAATCTGGATTCTCTATTCTTCCAGAAACTGACAGTGCAAATGTGAATAATTTGCTTTACTCCTTTAAATTTCATTTTATCTACCATCATCAGGAGGTGATAAAGTTCTTGTATTTCACTCTCTAATAATGTTAATTCACTGTATTGGGTGAAAAATATACATGATTCACTAGTTGTCCTTGGAGAAGGCCCTTATGAGTCTTTTTAAAGAGAGCCTGATCAATAGACTCACCTGGAAGCTCTGTTAAAAGTACATGTTCATCGTCCCCAGACTAGACCTACTGAATCTCCAGAATCTCCAGAGAAAAGTCCAGAGTCTTCTTAAGAAGTCATATGGAGAGTTTTATGATCAGGTACTGCTTAGTTCTCTGCTCTGTGATATGATTTAATCCACTCTTCCTGCATTCTGTATTCTCCTGATATTCCTCACTGCAGTCTTACCGGAATATTCCAACACTCTCAAGAGGTATTGCATATTCTCTTGCTCTTCTTTCAGCCTGGAATGGCCTTCACCTACACTGACCATCCACTGAAATGCTGTTCATTCCCCAAACTTACAGTTGGATTTATCAGTATGCTGGTTGCTGTTACTGATCATGCTTTAACATTTGATTGACTTTGCACTGTGACAAAATATTTTCTTCTTAGCTTTTATTTCTGCAGTAGAGTAAGATCACACCAACAGATTATCTAAGACTGACTTTCATTATAATGTTAAATCTGTAGAATTTATTTAAATATTCAGAGGATGAAATTCACAGTCGACAATATTTAACCATATGATGGGTGAGCAGTCCCTAGGTGATGCAAACAATTAATGTGCTCAGCTAATAACCAAAAGGTTGGTGGTTTAAGACCACCCAGAGGTGGCACAGAAGAAAGGCCTGACAATCTACTTCCAAAAATCAGTCATTGAAAATCCTATGGAGCACAAATCTACTCTGACACACATGAGGGCCCTGTGAGTTGAAACTGACTTGACAACATTTGTAATATATATTACGTTGTCAGTGTGAAAGGATGGGCAGGAATGTGGGAAAATACAAGCATGGATGAAGAACAACAGAAAGGGTAGCTGTGTAGGTGAGTCTAGTGAATGTTATTTATGTCTTGCTCAGTCTAGTTTCATGTTCTCCCACATTTGAGGAAACTATGTGAGTAAGAGTGTTATGGATTGATTTGTGTCATCCAAAAAGATAAGTTGATGACATAACTCCTGGTACCTGTGAACATGACCTTGTTTGGAAATAGAATCTTTGCATACAGAAAAATAACACTCAAATTATGAATTTCAAACCATAGCCAAAGTTAAATATTCCAATTTTGCATCTTCCTGTGTTATGAATATAGATTAACCTACATCCAACTCGGCAGAAAGATTCTAGTAACTGGAAGAGATTAATTCCATTTCATGGAAATGTGACTGGCCAGTATTTGTCTACTTCCACTCTTTAAGAATCATTTCCAGTCACTAGCCCAGTGACTTCTGCTTTTTCTGAACACAGCACACGTTGCCCACAAATTACCTTGGGATGGTTACCATATATTTCTTATGGGGTCTTTTATATTGTTATTTGGATTTAGTCTGGTTAATGAGCTTGGAAAATGTTGCTTTCTATTGTTCTACATTACCCTGGAAAACTCTGAGGCTGCAGACTCTGAGGTCTTAGTTTTACCCTCAGAACATGCAATTTATCAACTATTTGTTTGTAAAGTAGTGTGTGGACAGAAGCAGACCCCAGCCTCATGACAGGGTGAGAAGAGCAGGGACTTTGCAACTGGCAAATCCCAAGCTCCAGATCTGCACATGGGCACACTGCTCAAGGTCTGATCTGTACATCATCGTACCTCCCTCCCAGATTGGCTGTGACGTTTAAGTGAGTTGGCCTATTTAAGGGTCGTGCCTTGAACTGTTGCTATAAAAGTTTATTTCTTCATTATATTAAATAAGAATCACTTTTCTAAACTGATTGCTTGAGCTTTTTATTATATATTACTAATATAGTTGACTATCAACAGCAACTTATTGGCTTCTTCCACTTCCATGCATTCAAAATATCTTTGTCCCTATGTAAAGCATGTGATTAAGAGCACAAGCTCTGAAGCCAGAATGCCTAAATTTGGGCCTCTGTGACTCAGTTTCCTCATGTGTACAAAGGGGTTAGTTATAGAACCTATCCTGTAAGATTATTGTGAGGATTACCTAAGGTAAATGAGTAAAGTTGAGAAGTGTGCCAGCATGTTGTCACCATTTGATAGATGCTATGGTCATTATTTGTTCTTGCCTCCTGAATGAGAGGTCCTTGGGATTCAGTAACATATGACTTTTCCAGCCATGAGGAGTTTAAGAAGAGCACCATGGAGCCTCAGAGCTAAGATAGGCAAAGCTCCGGGTGAGGGACAACACCGGATGTGCTGGAATTGGGGCTCCTTCCTGGATAGGGGATGCCTGTGCTGAATCTTGGAAGGCAGATGAGAGTTAGTCAAGCAAAAGAGGTAGGGAAGAGGCCAGTGCCTTTGGCAGAGGGGCGGGAACAAAGGCACTGAGGCATGCCATAGTTTGGGGTGTCTGGGGATGGTGAGTGTTGTGGGGTGACTGAGGCTGGGTGGGTGGAACACTTTTTAAGATGGGGCCAGATGTCATGCACCCTATAACCAGACATCCTCCTTTATCTGTATCACTTTCTTTTTCATTTTCAAATCCCTAGGGAGTACTCAGCTAGAGCCAAGTACAGTACTAAGAACTGGGAATACAGAGATGAATAACTTATGGATTCAAGTAGCTCCCATTGAGAGGGCCAGATGCATATAGTCAAGATGGGGCTGTGTTTAGGATAGCAGAGAAAAAAGAATAGGGACAGGTAGCCTTTTCTGGAAGTTTACGTCAGGCTTTCTGGAGGAACTGCCCCATATCTGGGTCTGAAAGAATGATTAAAGTTAGCCTGGGGAAGAAGGAGGGAGTGGTATGGAAACAAGAGGGAGCAGGGGAACCAGGCTCCCAACAACTGAAGGAGTGTATGCAAGAATCAAGAGCATTGAGCCATGTGCGGGAGAGACCCCCTAGGGGTAGGGTCCCAGGACCACCAGGGTGTCAGGACTGCCACTGCAGCTCAGTCTTGCCCAGACTACAGGATAAGGGTGTTTACTTGTTTGTTTATTTATTTATTTTTGCATGATGGAGTTCAGTTCTGGTCTGGAGTCGCAGGTTAATTAGTCTGGGGATTTCACAGAGCCAGGACACTCCCCTGAGACTCGGTAGTGTCTCTGACTTTGACACTGCCCTGTTTTTAGTCCCTCTTCTATTTTGGAATCATGAACCACAGAATAGTCAAGACAGAAATTTGTTCACTCCTAGCAGCCCTTGGCCGACATTCTGGGTGGTCTTTCCGTATAAACCACATGCTCAGTGCTTGGAAGGCAGCAGCAATGTGCAGAGGAAAAGAATGGGCCCCTCCTCCATTCCAAGATGAACCTGGGAAAGGCATGGAGCTACAAGCTCAGCTTACTGTAGAAATAATGGTCTGGATCATGTGCAAGTACTCTTACCTCATGCTGGGTAGAGTTGCTCTTAGTTAAGGGTCAGTTGATAAATTAACCAAGGAAGCAGTTGTTCTGGGCAAAGTGAGCCACCTAAAGTTTTAGAAACGAGAATCCTGACATTGCAACGTTCTTCATCTTGGTCCAAGCATACTATTATTTTACTGGAAAAGCATTCTCAGCTCTTGTACTTGCTGAAAGATCCCAAACCCTTGACCACTGCAACCATGTTCTGATTTGCCTGGCTTTTGAGGCCCTTTCCTACTACCCTGCACTGTCTGGCTACATGAGGTTGAGAAACTGTACCTTGAGACAGGGTGCCCTTGCCTCCTTCAGATGCAGCCCTTGGATAGCTTCCTGGATTATGGCCAAACCCTTAGTTCTGATGATCAGATGCCATGGAGTAACCTTTGAAAGAGCAACTGTTTAGGAAGGAGAGTTAGAAAGCGGGTACCAAGAAAGTCATGTCATGGTTTTTCCCTTCTCAGGTGCTTAGAGGAAAAAAGAAAGAAAAAAATAATTGAAACACCTTATTGCTTAGGGCTGTGAGTATAGACTCTTTGAGATAGAGGAGAGTCACAATCTCTTCTTGAGTTGTGGCCATGGATGATGTCTGGAGAAAGGTGACTGCATAAATGGGGCCAGTATCATGATCTGTAATAAACCATTTTGACTGTCCTAAACACTTTGGAACAAAATTAATAAGGCATCTTGATGTACTTCCCTTGTGCTGATAATGAATTTTGGAGGTATTGATGATTAATAATTGTTAAAATTTATCCAGTGCTTACCCTTTGTCAGGCAGTATTTTAAGTGCTTTATATGCATTTTCTCATTTATGCCTTAAAATAGACCAACTAGCCGGGTATTTGGGGGAATGATAAAGTGTATACTGCCTCTGCGGTTAGGAGCTTTGTGTCATTAGGTAAGTGACTTAAACTATCTAAGTTTAATGTTTTCACATGGAGTTGTTTGTGAAGAATGAATGAGTACTTAAAGGTTAAACATTCCGAACCAACCCTGGCACAAAATAGGAGTTCAGTTTTTTTTGTTTTTTGTTTTAACCCTGATTACTTTTTTCCTTCAGTTTTGAAAATAACAGCTTTATTGAGATATATTTTATATATCACACAATTCATCCATTAAATGGCTTTCAGTACATTCATAGAGTAGTACAACCATCACCACATAATTAACTTTAGGACATTTTTATCACCTTAAAG